TATATATATATATATATATATATATATATATATATATATATATATATATATATATATGTATATATATATATATAATTCCGTTCTAATTTCGTATATATATATCCATTAATAGTTAAAATAACGATAATCTTTAAATTTACATTGAATTACGGATCGAAAAATATTTAAATTGATTGATTCAGTCAGATCGTTTTTGCATTAGTTAAATGGAAAGTTTAAGTTCGAGATAATGTAAAATCAATTGACTCCACCATATTTATTTCTTTAATTAGCTGATTTATGCACCTTCTGTCGGCTGGAGTGTTTGCTTATCCGCACATCAATCCAATCTTATCTACGGACCTGTGCACACAAACCAGGCCTTGGGATGAGTACGAGAGTGTATTGACGCTGATATACAGATATTAAACAAATTTAATAGTAGGAAACATAAAATCTATTAAGAGAGTTATTATTTGCGCTAGGAGCAAAAATGTGAAAAGTGAGAAAAATATCATGTTTTTATAACTATCGAAAAGTTGCACGTTAAAAGTTAAACGTTAAAATTCGCTCAAATTTGCATAAAACTTTTTATTTCCTATATATTTTCACTTCTAAGGAAAATTTACATGATTATTATTCAAGATCAGGATCCGTTCAATATTGTAAATACTTCAAAACATTAAATAAAACAATATGATTCGTCTATCCGTCGTTCTGAAGCATTTTCCAGCGCTTAACTTAGTCTAATACAGGCTTTAGTCTAATACAGGCTCTAAAGTGTTTATTTATACTGATTATTTGATACATGTATTAAATAGTAATTTTATTAAATTATCTTAATGTTGATGATATAATATACATATAAATAATGGCATGTTAAAATACAAGTTAAGAAAACGTACTAATATAATATACCGTCATTTACGCCCATTATTAAAATAAAGAGGATTCGACGTAAAATTACTAGTTGGTACATATATTAAATGATTTAAAGTGATTGAAGGGAGGAGTGTAAACAAGGCCATAGATTGACTGAAGTGGCAAGTATAAATCGACTTTGGAGACCTCAAGCGGTGGAAGCACGAAATTCTTCATTCAAGTTTACCAACGTCAAAACAGAAACTATCATACACTCAAAAGGAAGTTTGCTGATGTCCAATAGGAGAATTGGTTTTGTCATGGATGTAAGAATATATGGACGAAGCGAAAAATGCGATTATCATGAACGTAAGAATGCATAGACGGAGCATAAAGTGCGATTATAGGCCGATATTCATAGTCAAATCTTATTTCAAGACCGTCTTAAGTAAGGTCTTAAGATGCGAATACGGTTTTATGATTAGTTCATGACATCTTAAGACAGTACTTAAGATGATCCTAAATATAAGATCGGACTATGAATACTGGCCTATGTGAAGCCCAAGGGGTAAAAGGATTACATCGTCGCGGCCATTATGGTGTCGAAGGTTTATACCTATTGTCTATATATAAAAACAGCGACCGTCGCTATCATGCTTTGTCAACTTCATTAAAATCCCAAATAACCAAATCTGCTCGAGCAAATTTTGCCCAACACTTGACTACAAATTTTGCTGCCAAAATGTCATCAAATTGGACACAACATCTGCTAAATCAAAGGTTGTTGGCAAATTGGCGCCAAATACCGAGCAAGGTTTGTGCGGCGCAGTTTGACATCAAATTAACGCCAAATACCGACCAAGGTTTGTGCGGCGCAGTTTGGCGCCAAACTTTACTCGGCATTTGGCGACAATTTGGCGTTAGATTTTGTCACCAAGCTTTGCTAACAAAACCCAAGCATATTGCGGATGCAGATGGCATCAGATTTGCCGTCAAGTTTTGGTCATATTTGGTGTCAATTTGGCGACAATTTGGCGTTAGATTTTGTCACCAAGCTTTGCTAACAAAACCCAAGCATATTGCGGATGCAGATGGCATCAGATTTGCCGTCAAGTTTTGGTCATATTTGGTGTCAATTTGGCGACAATTTGGTATCAAATTGTTTGCTGGGATCATAGACATAATATATCTATATACATAATACATCATACTAGATTGAGCCTTTATTTTGCCTTTATTTGAGAAGTAGGGGTAAGAGTACGTAGAAAAGGATGCATTGCGCATTTTGAGACCCTGCGTTCTCTCTCATTCGCACATGTGTATAAACATATGCGTAATAGTCGTATCACCTAGCGATTCGCGACTGCGGTTGCGGCTGCGATTATGTCTCTTGACCAATGAGAAAAGCGGTAGTAGATAGCAGCTTCTTTTTGACTGGTCAAGAGACATAATCGTAGCCGTAGCCGCAGTCATGAGTCGCTAGTGTGATACAGCTATAAGAAAGGTTGTGTTACAGAGATGCGCGAATGAGAGAGAACGCAGCGTCTCAAAACGCAATGCATCCTTTTCTACGTGCCTCTTACCCTCACTCCTCAACGCTCGGTCTAGATATATTATGGCCGCGTTCTGTTTCACGCATATGCACGCATTTATCTATAGTTCGTGTTACGTATATTGTAGGCAATGCACGCATAATGCGTGAAACGGAACGCAACCTATGTATATGATTAGATATACAATCCCCTTAACCCTTTCACCTCCGCGATAATTCGCTCCGCCCATATATTTTTACGTTCATGGGTTTTGTAATAACAGAGAGAAACATGAGAACGGCCACCAGCCTGATTTCAATGGCAAGAGCTAGGCGCATTTTCGAGATGCCATCTAACAAAGTGCACCTTTACTACGTTCGTTAGGCGCATTTTCGCGGTAGTAACAATAAAATACGCCTGGTTCGTGCCCGTTGATTTCCGTACAATGATAGTAAGTTAGAAAAGGACAGACATCCAATCGCTCTGTTCTTGTCTCACCACTGATGAGTGGACCGCGCGACGTAGGCACGAAGCGAGCTAGCGGCGATATTATCGCAAAACTAGATCATCAGTCTCGTCTTTCTCGCGATGTGTTCTGCGTAATTTTGCAAGGAAAAAAATTAGGAAACTGGACAATATAAAACAATAAATAAATATACAAGCTTAAATATGCCGCTAATATTTTTTGTTTATTTCTCGGCAACCACAAAAGATATCAATGTGATTCAAAGAAAACAAAGTTCTCCACAAATTATCCTGTTGAAATTAGAGTTTACAATAATACTAATAAAACTAAATATTATAATAATTCTATTAATGACAGTTCGTTAAATAAGCTGTGGAAGCATGCGTAAAGTCTTGGAAATTTCCAAGACACGATCCAAAAAAATCACAAAGTCCGAACATGTTCGAACACGTCTTGTCGTGACGGCGGTTAGGCCGGAACTACCTTTATCTAGCCTTTGTTGAGTCTAGAGTTTCCGTTAGAGCCGTTACTCAGGTATCGCTATTATCGATTATTCGATTATACAATAACTGGGCAACGATAATAATAACTGATTAAAGACGAGGTATAGAAATTGTCGTAACGGTACACCCGAGTTGCTCTCCTATGCATAATAACAATAATTAAGTAATAACCGAATAAATTAAATAATAATCAAATAAAGAAGTAATAATACTCGAATATTAAATGGTAATAATAATAATATCTGTTCGACGTCTGTTCGTGTGATAATATCCGCGAGTGAATAATAACGAAATAATGATGATCGAATAATCGATAATAACAATATCTAGACAATAATTCTAACAAAACTCTAGGCTCCATAAAAGCTAGATAAACGTACCGTCGTAACGGCCGCTCATGCCGCTGATTGAACGGCACTTGGGAGGCGCGCGGTTGGGTCAATAAATACGCACGAACACGTGCTCGAGCGTCACGCTATACACTCTCAACCGTCGAGACGAGCATATTGGGAGCTGCTGATGATCTAGGTTGCGTTCCGATATTCACTGCCAGTACTGAAAATCTATAGTATATGTAATATGAACTATAGATTTTCAGTACTGACAATGAATATCAGAACGCACCCCTAGTTTTGCAGTAATATCGCCGCTAGCTCGCTTCGTGCCTACATCGCGCGGTCCGCTCATCAAGATGAGACAAGAATAGAGCGATTGAACGTCTGTCCTTTTCTAACTTACTATCATTGTACAGAAGTTAACGGGTACGAACCAGGTGCATTTTATCGTTACCATCGCTAAAATACGCCTAACAAACGTAGTAAAGGCGCACTTTGTTAGATGGCGTCTCGAAAATACACCTAGCTCTAGCCATTGAAATTAAGCTGGTGGCCGCTCTCATGTTTCTCTTTGGTGGAAGTAACTTTAATATTCACTGCCTGGGGTGACTAGAACTTTTCCATCGTACGTGTTGCAACCCCGCGGAGGGATGAATTCCCTCTTAATTTCAAATCGATTTTAATCCACAAACGAAAGCTCATAGAATTACGCGCTTATCTAATATTTAAAGTAACCGTGATTGAACTAATAAGAAAACACAATCAGTTTTACACTTTTATTAATAAGTAATTAACGGAATTATTAACAAAACTAATATTTATATAAAATTTTACCCTACAGAGCGATTGGAAAATAATAGAAAATAAAATAATCAAAAGCCTCAATTATAATTTTAATAAAATATTAGATAATGCCGGTTATACCATTAATTGAACTGAAAAAGAATTATGTTCTAGTTGCCAAATAATACATACAAATACACATACATACATACACACGGACACATCAGAAACAACATCCAGACATACGGCACATACATACACACGCATCCACACAAAAAGAGAGAGAGAGAGAGAGAGAGATTCAATAATTAAATGCTTATTCAGTAATATTATAAATTAGCATATATTTTAACAAAATGTCAAAGATTTTTTTTAGAAATATTAAATATTAATACATTATTATTTTACATTATTAACAATCACTAGGACCTATTCAATTACTGGGATATTTATTTTGCTTGATAAATTTTCATTCTTATATTTGTGTCAAGAGCTAAAGATCAATACGTTGTAAGTTTCAAATATAATTTATGACACTATTTTCGTAGCTTCCCAAGTAGCAGACTCACGTCAAAATAACGTCAAAAACTGGTCATAACTGGTCGATTGACGTCAAGTGACTAAATAATGACGTCTTAATGACGTTTAGAGACGTCATTAAAACGTCATTAAGTCGTCTTAAAATGTCGTCATCGGTCTGTGATATTAGACCGTCATTTTGACGACATTTTCACGATATTTTTGGTCATTCCTTGATCATTTTTGGTCACGAACTGACCAGATTTGGACGTCATTTTGACATGAGTCTGCTACCTGGGTTTGTACGTTTAATGAATACTAAAATGATATGGTTGCGTAACAGATTAAATTTAATACGACACAGAAGTTTACATATTTTTCAGATTGCTAGAGAACAATTAACGATATGTAAATTACAAATAAAGAAATTTATTGAAAAAACGAATCTTTGTTCATAGATGCATAAATACATCTACATAAATGCAATGAAATATTTGTTTGTTTTTTACACATTAGTTGATTCCATTTATTATTCTATATAAAAGTATTAAAGTAAAGTAATTGAAAGGTGAACTTTACGAGATATATTTTGATGTAAAATATCTCAGAAAATATCCACTTTTCGATTATCTTACTCAGTACTTTTATACACAGAATGTCATAGAATTAACTTGTATAAAAAGAATCATTCTATCGAAAAAAAATTCAAGATTTAATTAAAAATTTAAACTTTCATGTCACAGACCATAATTTTATGTTCATCTTGGGAAATAATTTGCCAAATAATTTTACCAAATAATTTTTATTCGACATTTTTTTCTAAAGTGAAAAACAATGGAAATAATTGAAACGACAAAACCGTCCTGTATATTTCCAATTTATACTTTGCTAAATTAATTCCTCAATTAAGTAGTCATTGCATTTTTGTGCCGACTCACCGTTCATATCTTATCGGCTGACAAATTAATGTTGACAACACAGAGATTTAGTACAGGTATAAAAAGGCTTCTGCAACTTCTAAAGAGATCGCTACGGAAATGACGATTCGTCAAATATAAAATTCTATATTTAAGTATATGCCTTATTGGTCAAGCATATTCGCTGTAAAACATCAAGAAAGATTAACAATGGATTCATACAAGAACGTAACGGTTTATATGTAAACGACACTCTTAACGTAGACGCAATTAAAGAAATTAAATCTTTTGTCATATCGCGTTGCATCGGGAACAAACATTTACTCGTTTATCGGGAAATATCTTGATGGAAATATACTACGTTCTATATTACACACAACAGAATCAGTTAATGAATTGGCAAATATACAAAGAGTATATAAAGACCAACGAGTTGCCGCAACGTTAGACTTTCCCATCCAAAAGTAACATCTACAGGAAGAATGTCTAACACGGCGATACGAAGAAAAGAGTGTCTGGAGACAAAAACTGTCAATGTCACTAAGAACAATGTCATTCGGAAGTTGCTTTCACCCGAAGAAGTGACAGAAGTCGTGAGAAGCGTGCTGAACAGCGAAGTTGATTCGGTCGAATACAGTATTCGATCGTATTCTGACGGTAAACTTGGGTATCTCGGCTCTCATTATTGTCTCACTGTGATAGCCACGATGAGGAAAAAGAAAACAGCCACTATCTCGTTCTTTCTCAAGACCTTGCCTTACGAAATACCCGAGCAAGTCGAATACGTGATACAAAACGGCTTCTTCAAGCAAGAGATGCTGTTTTATAACACCATAATGCCACTGCTTCGCAATAAGTATCATGGGGAATCGTGGGCGCCAATGTGTTACAAAATGAAAGATAATTTGTTGATTTTCGAAGAGCTAATCAACAAAGGTTACTCGATACGAGACAAATTATTGGACAAGACGCTCATGAAAGCGGGTCTCAACGCTATCGCGCGTCTACATGCCGCCTCCTTGATGGCGGAAGAACGTCTTGGCTTACCCTTCAACCAATTATATCCTGAAGCTTTTAAGAATACAGACTTTGACTGCAACCAAAAGAGAAAAGAGTGGTTCGAAGCGGGTGTTAATGTCGCTGTGGCTATAGCCGAACGTCTGGGACACAACTCTGATCTGTTACATGCAGCCTTTGAACAAGTCAATCACGGCTTTAAACCGTCCTGCACGAAAGCGAACGTGCTCTGTCACGGGGACCTGTGGAGCAACAACCTCATGTTTAACAACGACATGCCGCCCAAGTGTCTACTGGTAGATTACCAGCTACTGAGATATGCTCCTTTGGCGCACGACGTGTCGCAGTTACTTTATCTGTGCGGTGACCGGAACTTCCGAGAGACCTGGGAGAGCGCAATGTTGCGATATTATTATAAGACGCTGTGCGAAACATTAGACGCTCATGGTGTCAGCTTGACGCAGAGACCAGCCTGGTCGGAAGTGGTCGAAGGCATGGAAGAGCAGCGTCTATCCGCTCTCATCACAGCGACAATATACTTTCCCACGGTACTGATGAATGAGAAGTGCAGCGCACAGATCTGCAACGATCCCGCGTCTTTCGTCGAGTACGTCTTTAGGAACAGGATAGAATCTGTATTTTCTAATATGGAGAAGGACTCGGCCTACGGAAGAAGGTTGAACGAGGCTGTTGCCGAATTGGTCGAACTGGCTTCACGATTGGATCAGTTGCCCAAGCCATCTTAAAATTACGTAATGTAGTTAATATAGTTGATTCGAATATTTTATACATTATTTGATTTCGTTGTGTGTAATATAGAACGTAGCATATTTCCCTTGAAATATTTTCCGATAAACGCGTAGACGTTTATTCCCGATGCAACATATTTCATATTTTATTATATACTCATTTGATCGAATATATTTTGTATAAAACATTTACAAAACGTAAACGTTACTATATTTCAACTAGACGGAGTTCGTTGAATTGACAGCCTTATATCATTTTACCGTTACTTTGTATAACAGTTCTTTCATGTACAAATGAGTGATATTGTCTTATTCCGGAAATAAGTTCGCTAAACTAGACCAATCGAAAATCTCCACATCTGTAAACGATTCGTCCGGCTCTTCCTTGTAGAGCGGCGTGACTGCAGGTTTCGGTGTCGGCTGTGATACTTCGTTATCATTCAACTTTGAGGTATCGTCTTGAGCTTCATCATCGCTATCCCATGAAATTGCAAGAAAATTAGTATGCAATGCTACAATGTCCGTAAACATAAGATAAAATGAAATATGTACTCTTAAAATTTTCCAACTGAAATCCCACTCATAAAACAGAGTGACAACCGAATCACTCGAAATCGAGCGACTTTCACTCATATAGAATGAATTCTCCACTCTGAATTGTTAAGTGAAAATTTGTATTCGAAATTAAAGGGTAAATTCACTGTTATGATGGACAAATTCCCATAAATCCACTCTAATCGATTGAGCCATTCACTTGCATAGATTAACAACTCATTTTCAAGTTTGAATAAAACATTTACTCCGGTGATTTCGAGTAGTAATATTTGTACAATCTTAAGTAAATATTTACTCGTTTTGAATAAGATTTCACTTCGAGAAACTTAGAGGATATCTTATCATAAAAATTGTACATTAATTATAATTAATTGAACTTACCTAGAGTACTTGCGTTTTCTTATCGGACTTTTCGGTTTTTCTTTCGCCATCGCCAACAGATACGGCAAACATAAATCTTTCATTGATAAAGTCCAGGGTGGTACGCTGCGCATCTGAAAAAGATAAAAATTAATGTCAAACGGCTACGAACGATTGGCACGCAAAATTATCAATTAGAAAAGTTATATATGCGGACGAATATCAAATTGATTGAAGAGTTTTTTACTACAAATATTGAACAAGTATTGAACAAGTGTCTTTGAACAACTGAAGATAAGCGAATTATGTATGACTGAATAATTATAATTGTTCTCGTTTCCATCCGTCTGTTTTTCATTAAAAGTTCCTTAGTTACTAATCCTACTTCATTTGATCCTGAATCACCGCGAATGAATCGAGACTGTCGCGGAATCGCTAGAATTCGAACGAGATCTACATTGTGTGAGAGAAAAAATATCCGCAAAATAAAGAATATTCATTCGACGGGTACTAATAATAACATATTTACTTAAATCTATATTCCTTTGTTTAAATAAAACATACAATTACTTTTATAAAAAGTAACGGTAGTTTTAGGAAAATATATATTTTCTCATTTGAAAGATATTTTTCTTAACGAGAAAATATGTATATTAGTACAAATAAATATGTCATTAATACCCATTGAATAAGTATTTCTAATTTTTTAGATTTTTTTCTGTTAGTGTAGAACTGAGCGCGAACGAAGCGCAACGATAAAAACAAAAAATTTTTTTCGAATATAGCTATATAGACCGACAAACGAAATGTCCACTTTGCGGGGAGAGAATTTGTTATTTTCCGAATCAAGCTGAAACACGCGATAGGAAGTGCGCGACAGGCTCAAAAATATATTTTGCCATTTGCAGCAACAGCGTCGATGGTGATGGTCGGTTAGATGACCGGCTAATTAGTTTTAAGGCTGACACGACACACCTCCAAGTGAAAATTTGTGCAATTCCCGTAATCGTCTGCTTCAGATCTAGGTTGATTCGTCTGTTGCAACCCACACGAATATTCTCCGCGATGTGTTGTGCACTTTAACGACGAATGCGCGCAAAACGCGTACGGTTACAGTTGATACTCGAAAGTTTCGTCCGATTACGTCGATGAGAAAAGTTCTTTACGCTCGTGAAAAACGCACACGAGTTTGTAATTATTATCAGGCGCAAAAGAGGCTATTGATGAACTATGCGAGCATACAACTCGAAATTATGCATTACATTTCCGATAATAATACGTCCATAGATATCAATAATACTTCTTTTTTTATCCTCTATCTAAGAACATCGGGAAATTAACTATTGTTTAATATCTCGTTTTATATCGTTAAGAACATGACGAATTCTTAAGACACATAATTCCAAGCTATTCTCGTGCCTGTTGATTTTAGAGTGACGCGAGTGTCGCTAATGAGTTCGGCCGAATTTCAGAGAAGATGACGACAATATTCGCGAAATTACACGTACGAAAAACGGACGAGATGGACGGAGAATGTAGTTTATTATCGTCACCACAATCAAGGCAATTACCAAGTACGACATCTACTTTCGCGGTAACGCGGCCATTAACCAGCACTCTCGTGGGTTAACAACGCATTAAACGCGAAAAACGAGACATCCTGATTCGCTATTTTTAGTTCACAAAAATTGTTATTTTTGTTACAAGAAAAAGCATCCGGCTCTTCGGCTCACTCAACTGGAGTCACTTTTTAATAGTGCTTAAATCACTAAAAGGCGATTTTTTAATAGCAGTTTAATAAGTTTAAACTCTATTCTAACAATGCGTTTGTTTTGTTTAAATAGAGTTTAAGTTGAATTCTAAGTTTAAAATATTATTGAAAAATCCTAAGAGTCGAGAATAATCGTATAATCGTAGAAGAGTCGTATAATCGTCGAGATGATGTAAATTTTGCAATTAGAATAAAAATAAGATGAGCAGCAAAACTCACTATGATTCGAATAAATCGCACGACGTGCTAATACAAGATTAAAATATTTTTTCGAAAATTTTTTTCAGAGATCGTAAAATGATAAATGTGCGGTGTCACACCGAGACAGATTGATTTAAACTTCGCGTTCTGTATCGGCATGACATTTTATTAGCGGGGGTATCAATGGCAACAATCGAGACAGTCGTCGAAAAAGATAAGACTATTCCCGCTGGCCTGGTTTTACGTTTGCGAACAATCCCAGACGAGAGTGTGACAATGTCGTTCGCTATTTTCGCATTGCACAAGGTGTCCCACGTAGCGAAATATTTTTAAGATTCAAGATCAATAAGATATAAATTTCATTGATTTTTTCTTTTATATATTTATTATAGAAATAAATTTTGTAGTAAGATTAATATTTGTTTGAAAAGAGTCATTTTGGAAAAATATCAAGATTGTTTCAATTTTTCTGATTCAATGCACAAACTATGTTAAGTAGCAAATTATTTATATATTAATTGCTTTGCTGATTTCTTTTGATTGTAGAAAACTTTAATTGATGATTAAATTTATTAAAGTTACATGAATAAATATAATTTGAGATATATATATGTATTTATATGATACATCGAATGATAGGAGAATGATAGGAGTATCATTGTTTCTCTACTACGTATATAAATATTTTTTTAATGCAACAACAAATCATATCTGTAAATCTTATATGCTGTTATAAATAATATTAACTCATAGTGCAAAGCCATGCAATGTTAATCTATAGTTGATAATAATATGCATACCAATCTTTCTTAGATTATGAAAAATACAAACAAATAGAGAGCAATGAAGGGCTGTCTGAGAATAAATGGAGTTTAATTATTATAAGTCTTGTTAAGGATCTGCTTTAGATCTAAATAGGTTTATATATTATCAGAGAAGCTAGTAGTTACTATAGTATTGCCATGTAAAAGTACAATAAAGATATACTCAAAGAAAATTGTATTTTAAATACATTTTAACAAGACATAGTACTACTATAGTGCTGGTCACCAGAAAGTTTAAGAGGCAAACAAACATACAGATAGGCAGAAACAGCAAAAATTAAATCAGGTACAAAATATTATGTAAAAAAAATACCAATACGCTAAAACAATACTCCTTGTTTAATATAGAGATTAATGAATATTGATTTCAATTTATTGCAATTATTATATTAATATTTATATATTGCCTGTCTGCATCACAGGTTAGATATCTGGACGAGTTTAATATAAAGTCTATTGCTTATTATCAATTTGCGTATTATCGACATTTAAATTGCATTTCATTTAAATTGCAATTCACCAAAATTGCCAATTATAATTATAATTACTGTATGTTTTTTATCAATCTTCGACTTAATATTTACAAGACGTGAAATTTAAAAACCATACAAGTAATCCTAGCGACAATGTTACGTCGCTATTAACAGCTATAATGTACTTTATCTGTTTTTTTCAACGAGAACAAAATAACGAGTGAAAGAGAGGGACAATCTTAACTACCGCCGTTCTTAATAGCGTCGCGATACGTTTGGTGCGTAAAAATCAGTTGCTATAAATACCTTGCTGCGATAATGACATATAATTTTGACTCTTAATCAATTATCCATTACAATGCGTTGCATTTGCGTAAGCGTTTATGCGCGTTCGTTTTGTTATCTACCTTTTTCCGACATGTCGCTGTTCAATTTCCCAGGCCAACTACTCACCCACGTAAAGAAAAGGAAAGACCCGCACCCCGATAATGCCTATCGCCGTCGAAATACCGAAATATAAGAACGTGTGAATAGACCCTACAATAGCAGAGCGGTAGATAGAGTTACGCGATACGATTGTGAGCCGAGGCGCAGGATTTTCAGCGAAGTTCGCCTGTTGTCCGGTTGTCCTAAAGGGACATCTGCGAGAGGGTGGGAGCTCGCATATTAAATCATAGCGACACTCTGCTGAAAGTCAGTCGTACGCGGAGCGTTTGGGATACGTGAGGAAGACCTTTTCCGTGTGTCTTGGCTGTTCCCCAGACGCGGGAACACTATTATTATTTATTAACTCTATTATTATATATTATTTCGCATGCCATTCGCGCGTTAAGTCGTGTCGCTTTAAAAACGCTTTTAAAATCCATTCATTCGGATAAAGTCTTGGGTAAACCCATTAGATGCGGTTCTACACCCTAACAGTCGCCCATTTCATATGGTGACGACGAAAATTACGATTAATTCGTAATTTCATCTGTAGAGTGCCGCTCGATAAAGAAGAATTGCTAATCAATCTGATTGCGATTGCTGAGAAGAAAAAGGCAAAGAACTGAGAGATTGGGGAAAATACAAAAGACAAATCTCTTTGAGATACTCCCAGAAAAAACAACCGATTTTCAAGATGAACTTGACTGGTTTGAGATTCCTGTCATATCTATTAACAATATTATCACTGATAGTGGCTGCTTCTGGATATCCTGCTGGCAAGAGCAATGGAGTAAGTGTATTCCTTAGATAAAGTCAATACATGTATTAAAAATAATGTAGATCTCATAGTGATTTGTCAGTTTTTGTTCATGAAATTTACTTATATAACTAAATATACTGAGATTCCACAATACATAATTACACTCTTTCATGAAGTTGTATGTTGTAAAACTTGCTTTGTTTTGAAAAACTAGACTTATATTTCACTTCATTGTAAGAATATGGGATATGCATGATATAATATGAGTAAGTATAAGTGGACTTGGTTCATTAACTATTCTTTGCTAAACCCAAGTGTGTATTTGCCATAGCGCTATGAATAATTTAATTACATTGAGGTGTAATCTCTTAGGCTACGTTCGGGGAGACGCTATTTAGCGCTTTGAGCGCGCTCTGTCCTTGTTCAACTTTTACTAAGTAACAAGGACAGTGCACGCTCATAGCACTAAATAGCATCTCTCCGAATGCAACCTTAAATAGATTGACTTCTTACTAGATTTGAGATTAAAAAAAAAAACATATTTTGAGATAAAAATTCCAATACAAAAATGTTCTCAGAAATATGCTATTAATAAGAGTCGCATTAATAACGGCAGAATATTTTACATAATATTGCACAATTGCATTTTTTTTATTATTTGATTTAATATTTAATTCTTATTATATTTGATTTGATTTTTGAATTATAATATTTAATTTTCATTATATTTGACTTTTTCAGAAATAACTTTCAGAACTTTCCTTTTTATCACATTTCCATCGCGATTTTAATCGATAAAGGCAGATTGAAAAAGTATTCGGAGGTTTTTGTTTGTTTTGGCGTGCAGAAACTATTCGATGTTTAACTATAGCATATATGCCTTAATATATATCACATATAGATAGAGTAACATTGAAAGAAAATTGTAGAAAATTAGTAAATAAATATTTTCTTTTTTTTCTCTTCTTTTGGTAAATAAGTATTAAAATGTGCAGCTGAATTTCTCGATTCAAATAAAACATTACTATATAAATATGGACTTTGATAATTATTAGATCTGATATCTAATATCGATGTGCTTATGTTAGCTCGATGTTGTGCTTATATTAGATTAATTTTACTGTAATTACATGGAAGCTTAATTTTTCTTACATTCTTATCTATTTGTTATCGTATCAGTTGTTCTTATTAAATAATTTTCTTCGGTGACTTTAACAATTCTGTTTAAGTTATACAATTTACAGGCGGTTGAGAACATGAGGCAGATCCCACAATGGCATTGTCTACGCTATAGAAAATTCGATTTTGTCCGTCGCTGCCGGCATTACCGTTTAGGAAGAAGACACTGACAGATGGACGTTCGGTACGACCCCCGATTGGCAGCAATGATTTACAAGAATATATATCGACCTATCTTGCATAACATGCCATATCAAGTCTTAAAGCGTATTTAAATTATATCACTGTTACATGATATCTAGAAATTTATTCACGTTAAAAAGTTAAAATGTTATTTTGTGTTAGAATTTGGTTCAATCTAAAAAAAAAAACCCAATTAAAAGCGCGATTAATAGTTGTGACAGACAGAAAATATCGTATATTTTATCATTTTACGGTAAATCTTTGTCTATTTATATTTATATGTAGATTTCACAAAATTCCGTAAAATTTACCTTCCGTTTTTTCTCTTGTTTCATTTTCTAACATTTTCTGTACAAATTATAATTTAAGACTGAAACAATCTTGTACTATATATACATACATATATATATATATATATATATATATATATATATATATATATATATATA